GGAGCTGCTCCCGAGTGGGCGGCGGCGGCGGCGGCGGCGGCGGCGGAGGCGGGGAGGGCGCGCGCGTGCGCAGGCCCGCGGCGCCTCCCAAGTTGAGATCCGAGTTGCGCTCAATGGAGCCGGGCCGGGCGCCCCGGAGCGGTGCTGGCCGGAGAGGAGGCCGCGCGCAGGGCCCGAGAGGAAGGGCGGCCCGCGGCTCCTCCGGGAAACTTTGGCGGCGGCGGCGGCGGCGAGGCCGGGTGACCGCCCCCCCCGTGGGGAGGCTGCGCGCCCCGCCCCGATCCCGGCCTCGCCAGGGGCGCGCCCGCCTTCCGCCGCCCGGGGGCGCCCCGGGGTCCCACCCAGCGCCGACTCCGCGGCCTGCACCCGGGACCCCTTCTCCAGTCGCGGGACCCACGGCGCCCCCCACCCGCGCCCCGGCCGCCCCTCCCCTGCCCCGCGCTGGCTCCTCCCCCACCCGGCCGCCGGGAGCGGTCCAGGCAGCCCCGGGAGAGGGGGCCGGGGGCGCTGGTCTCGCGGGACGATTCGCTGCTCCGGGGAGAGGCCCTGGCCTTGGAGAGGGATGGAGGGGTCACGAGGAGGTCCCCGGGCTGGGGCTCATCCCTGGAAGAAAACGGGGACCCCCCGGGCTGCAGGCCCTCCCCGCAGACCCGGCCACTAGGCCGACCTGCAGAGTCGCCCGGAGAGGGGCAGACGTGTTGAGGAGTGCTGGGTCCCCGGAGCCGCCGGGCGCCCCTCCCAGAGCCGCATTCATCGGTGGCTCCTGGTGACATAAATGCCACTTCACAGTAGAGCGAAGCCCCCTTGGCATTCCAGCACCACGAGTTTTTTTGTCCAAAGGCTCCCTGTCTTTTTGGGCTGGCCAAATTCACTTGTTCATCAGACTCCCTCCCCCCCGACTCCCACTCGCAGGAGAACCTTTCCTGAACCCAGAACGCATCCGCCCTCCCCGACCCCCATGCAGGAGTTAAGGACCCCCCTTGCAAACTCAGAGTCCCCTGCTTGCCCCTTCAAAATTGCTCTTAGCATGCTGAGTTTTCACCGTGTGTTTGCAGATATGTTTCCACTGTCCGACTGTTGTTAGCTCCTTGAGGGAAGAAATCTAATTAATGCGCTTGTACCCATAAACCCTACCCCAACCTGGCACCTCTAAAAGGTTTTTTAATTTTTTTAATAGAGACAGACACTATGGGTGTCTCTATTAATGGCTCATTATGTTGCCAAGGCTGGTCTTAAACTCCTGGACTCTAGTGATCCTCTTGCCTTGGCTTCCCCAAAGCACTGGGATTGCAGGCGTGAGCCACCGCGCCTGGCCCCAAATTGTAAAGTTAAAATGTATTGAATATTTGCTTTACATGTAGTTACAAAATATGCAGCGTTTACTATATGCCAAGAATTATTCTAAGTGTTTTACTAATATTACCTCATTTAATCCCGACTCCATCGATTCCCAAAGTGTGGCCTAAGGACGGCCGGGGGTCCCCAGTACCCAAAGAGTATCTGGGAGGTTGTCTCTTTCTCCAGCTGCGTCTCGGTGTCAGGCTGGGCTCTCCTCATATGCTCAACACAAAACATTGCATTGCGGCTGACAGCGCAGAAGCAGAGTTGAGGCCCCAGCTCCCTTCTAATGAGCAAGACACTAGACTTGCAAAAGCGTAACCCAGTACCATCGTTAGCAAGATTTTTTTTTAAATTTTGGAGCATAGCGTGATTTTTTATTAAAAAATACATATGGGCCGGGTGCAATGACTCGTGCCTGTAATCCTAGCACTTTGGGAGGCCGAGCTAGGAGGATTTCTTGAGCTCAGGAGTTCTAGACCAGCCTGAGCAATATAGTAAGAACCCTCTACTTAAAAAAAAAAAAAAAAAAAAATTAAAATTAAAAAATTAAGGCCCGGTGAGGTAGCTCATGCCTGTAATCCCAACATTTTGGGAGGTCGAGGTGGGAGGATTTCTTGAGCTCAGGAGTTCGAGACCAGCCTGGGCAACATGGTGAAATCCCAACTCTGCTAAAAACACAAAAATTAGCTGGGTGTGGCGGCCAGCACCTACAGTGCCAGCTACTCAGGAAGCTGAGGTACACGAATTGTTTAAAGCCTGGAGGCAGAGGTTGCAGTAAGCCGAGATCACACCACTGCACTCTAGCCTGAGTGACAGAGTGAGACTCCTTCTCAAAAATAAAAAATTAGCCAGATGTGGTGGCATGTGCCTGTAGTCCCAGCTACACGGGTGGCTGAGGTGGAAAGATGATTTGAGCCCAAGTGGGCAGAGGTTGCAGTGAGCTGTGATCGCGCCACTGCACTCCAGCCTGAGTGACACAGCAAGACCCTATCTTAAAAACGACAACAACAAAAAAACCCATATGTTAGCCAGCATGGGGGCAATGAGGAAACTGAGGCACAGAGAGATTAAAAAGCTCACCCAAGCTGAAGTTCCAGTTACTTCAGCAGGAGGATCCCTTGAGTTCAGGAGTTCGAGTCTAGCCTGGGCAATGTAGGAAGACTGCCTCTGAAAAACTAAAAAGTTAAAAAAATTTATGTTAACATGTAATGTGTTTACTATTTTTTAATTAATATTTTTAAAGCATCAGTTTAAATTTTTCTCTTTCTTTCCTTTTTTTTTTTTTTTTTTTTTTTTGGTTTAGAGTCAGGGTATCATTCTGTTGCCCAGGCTGGAGTGCAGTGGTGCAATCATAGCTCACTGCAGCCTCAAACACCTGGGCTCAAGCGATCCTCCCACTTCAGCTGTCTGAGTAGCTGGGATTATAAATTTCGATTTACAGTAGATATGAGCAGATATAACTCACCTAACAAAAGCTCTTTCAAGGCAGGGCACGGTGACTCACGCTTGTAATCTCAGCATTTTGGGAGGCCAAGATGGGCAGAGGTCAGGGGTTTGAGACTAGCCTGGCCAACATGGTGAAACCCCCGTCTCTACTAAAAATATAAAAATTAGCTTGATGTGTGGTGTGTGCCTGTAATCCCAGCTACTCGGGAGGCTGAGGCAGGAGAATTGCCTGAACCCAGGAGGCGGAGGTTGCGGTGAGCCGAGATCGCGCCATTGCACTCCAGCCTGGGTAACATGAGTGAAACTCCGTCTCAAAAAAAAAAAAAAAAAACCAAAGTGCTGGGATTATAGGCGTGACCTACCGCACCCAGCCAAGTGCTGTCCTCTTTCGTTTATTTATTTATTTATTATTTTTTTGAGATGGAGTTTCACTCTGTTGCCCAAGCTGGAGTGCAGTGGCACAATCTCAGCTTACTGCAACCTCTGCCTCCTGGGTTCAAGCAATTCTCCTGCCTCAACCTCCTGAATGGCTGGGACTACAGGTGCATACCGCCTCACCCAGCTAATTTCTTTTGTATTTTAGTAGAGACGGGTTTTCATTGTGTTGTGCAGGCTGGTCTCGAACTGCTGAACTTAGGCAGTCCACCCGCTTTGGTCTCCCAAAGTGCTAGGATTACAGACATGAGCCACCGTGCCCGAACTGCCCCTTTCTAAGTTAAAGAAGACAAGAAGGCAGGGAAACGTGGACGAATTTCCTGTAACTACTCCAACAAATTGCCACAAACTTGGTGGCTTATAACAAAACTGGCTGGGCACAGTGGCTCACGCCTGTAATCCCAACACTTTGGGAGGCCGAGACGGGTGGATTACTTGAGCTCACAAGTTGGACACCAGCCTGGGCAACATGGAGAAACCCCATCTCTACAAAAAAATTTAAAAAAAAATTAGCTGGGCATGGTGGCATGTGCCTGTAGTCCCAGTTACATGGCGGGCTGAAGCAGGAGGATCGCTTGAACCTGGGAGGTCGAAGCTGCAGTGAGCCATGATCCTTCCACTGCACTCAAGCCTGGGAGACAAAGGGAGACCCCGTCTCAAAAAAAAAGTTTCAAATTAGCCAGGTGTGCCGGTGTTCACCTGTAGGCCTAGCTACTTGGGAGGCTGAGGTGGGAGGACTGCTTGAGCCTGGGAGGTCAAGGCTGTAGTGAGCCATGATCACACCATTGCCCTCCAGCCTGGGCCACAGAGTGAGATGCTATACAAAACAAACAAACAAACAACAACAACAAAACCCACAAAACCAGAAATGTGTTCTCTCACAGCTCTGGAGCCCAGAAGTCCGAAGTCAAAGCATCAGAACGGTAACACTCTCTCCGAAGGCTCCTGGGGGGACCCTTTCTTGCCTCTTCCAGCTTCTAGTGGCTCCAGGTGTTTCCTGGCTTGTGGCCAAATTGCTCAAATCTCTGCCTGTTTTCTTTCTTTCTTTCTCTCTCTCTCCCTTTCTTTCCCTCCCTCCCTCCCTCCCTTCCTTCTTTCTCTCTCTTTCTCTCTCCCTCCCTCCCTTTCTCTCTCTCTCTCTCTTTCTTTCTTTCGGACAGAGTTTTGCTCTTGTTGCCCAGGCTAGAGTACAGTGGCTCAACTTCAGCTCACCGGAACCTCCACCTCCCGGCTTCAAGCAACTCTCCTGCCTCAGCCTCCCAAGTAGCTGGGATTACAGGCATGTGCCACCATGCCCAGCTAATTTTGTATTGTTAGTAGAGATGGGGTTTCTCCGTGTTGGTCAGGCTGGTCTCGAACTCCCAACCTCAGG